CGACCACACACACACACACACACACACACACACACACACACACACACACACACACACACACAATAACTACTGCACCTTCCACTCCCTTCAACTCCCCTCCCCCTCCCTTTTCCCCCCCTTCCCGCTCAAACCCTTGTTCAATATTTTCGTGAGTCTCCCTGCGTCTATTTAGTTTTCAAAATTACACCGTCCTTTGCAAACTGTCCCTTTGCCCAGAGCTGAATTAACCCTTTTCCCATTCAAACATGTTCTACAGCACAACCAAACAGACAGGAACAGTCTCGGGAGAGGTGGGGAAGGGGTTAAAATATTACTTGAATTGAAGCCAGGGATTACAACAAATGAAACAAAGAAACAATACAAACAGAATTGAATCAAACTTGTTGTAGAAAAGAGGCAAAATAAATAAACACATAATAAATATCTTCGCAAACGCAGCATAAATTTCTATGGCTGATTTTGGAAGAACTCTTCTTTCCGTCATTACGTTGTCGAAACATACAGTTTGAGACTTTGGTTTGGGGGGGGGTGTTGAGATCAACGAAGGGAATGAAAGGAAATGTATGTTAAAAACTTAGGAACTAGGACAGATAAAACCGCTGTTTTTCTCATTCCCGTCAGAAAGTCATAAACAAAAATTGTTAAGAACCAGCGAGCTCGTCGTCCCGACCTGCCAGAAATAGACAGATCTTCCATAAAAATAATTAAGAACTGCAACGTCATCACTTGTGAAACTTTTCAATTCTAATGACGTATCCAGTGTTTCCAAGGTCGCTGGCAGCTTTCTTTTCGCAAAGCACACACACACACACACACACACACACACACACACACACACACACAAACCCACACATAAACTCAACCCAACACAAACTCATCTGCACCCAACCACCACGCCCCATTTTCCCCTTTTCTCCCACCTGTCCACCAGATGGGTCATCACAACAATCGACCCAGTGGCCAAAAACTACCCCCTGTTCCGGCCTGACGTCGTGTCCAGCTTCAACTGGACAGCCACCTACCAGCTGGGCGCGGACATCCCGAGGCTGCTGGGACAGTTGAAGTCTCAGGAACCAGATCCACACAAACAATACGGTAGCACTGGCATACTAATTATAATTGTGAAGATAACAATAAAATGAAAATTTTAAAAATTACTACTACTACTACCACGACTACTACTACTTCTAATAATAATGATAATAATAATAATGATAATGATGATGATGATGATGATGATGATGATGATGATGATGATGATGATGATGAGGATGATGATGATGATGATGATACATTTAAAGATAATCATAATAATCATAATCATGATGATTATGGTAAATAATAAGAATATTTATCATTAGTAGTAGTAGTAGTAGTAGTAGTAGTAGTAGTAGTAGTAGTAGTAGTAGTAGTAGTAGTAGTAGTTGTTATTATTATTGTTGTTATTAATCTTTATTATTAGTACTATTATTATATTATTATTATCGTAGCTGTTGTATTTGCTATTGTTATTATTGTTACCTTTAATTCGTCTAATTCTGTTATTTCTCTTAAGAAATATTCTTCCCTGCTACTGGTCATCATCAGACCTCGACGGACGCGCCATTCTTGTTATTATTATTAATATTATCATCATCGTTAATATTATTATAATTATTATAATTTTTTAATTATTATTACTAGTAAAAGTACACCCGTTCTATGAACGGATTAATAGTGAAGAAGTATTAGGAAAATTCCGAAGAGGAAAGAGACTGAAAACAGGAAAGAAACAAAACATAAATATCTTACCTTGAATTTATCCATGTACCACTCCCTCTTGAGCTCCTCTAGGGGTAAGACTTCTTCCCCCTCTTCGAAGGCGTGGCATTTTCTACTAAAGTTTCAGCTCAATCACTTTTTTTTTTAAGTGTTAGGCCTACACGCCAATTGTTGCTTCCTAGAAGAACCTGATCTAGATTCTAGATCTAGCCTAGATCTCGAAGGATTATAAAGACATAGGCCTATAATTGAAAGAATGAGCATAGGCCCATAGATAAATCTAAGTTTAGACATTCACATTTTTAACAACCGACAGGCGTCACGGATGGCCTAGATTGCTAGATCTATTCACAGCAGGAAAAATCCACTTTCAAGAATACTTTCATGATTCTTGATCTCGATCTAGAGTCACCTACAGCCTAGTTCTAGACTCTAAATCTATTCACAGCAGGAAAAGATCTACGTTCAATACTTTCATCATTGTTGATCTCGATCTAAGATTAACATATAGATCTAGATATAGCCTAGATCTAGATCTTAGAATCTATAATGCATAGCAAGAAAAATCCACTTTCAATATTCAATAGGTTACCGAAATATCACAGATCTAGATTCTACTTTCATTTCATGATTTTTTTTTTTTATCTCGATTTAGATCTCGATTCTAGATTTCATCTAGACACTGTGCACAAAATACACTCATCCTTCGGCGTGCACGCTAAATCCACTGCAAGAGAAATCTACCTTCAATACTTTCATGTTTTGTTTATCTTGATCTAGATATTAGATCTAGACATACAACTACACGCAGGGCTTAAACCGGGCTGCGATTGGCTGAACCTTTGACTTTGACCCATGAATAAATTAAGTAGGTCTACGGTGGGCTACTCTTGGCGCTTTCGACGACACCCTCCTAGTCACTCTCACCACCCTCCCCCCTGCAGTGCTATCTGGCCTCCTCTATCTCTTCATTTCTCTCTCTCTCTCTCTCTCTCTCTCTCTCTCTCTCTCTCTTTCTCTCTCTCTCTCTCTCTCTCTCCCTCTCTCTCTTTCTCTCATTCTCTGTGTGTCTCTCCTCCTGTCTCTCTCCTTCTGTCTCTCTCCTTCTCTCTCTCTCTCTC